AAAAAAAAAAAAAAAAAATATTATATCAAAAAAGAAATTCTTGGTCAATCCCAAAGACTATGGAATAAAAAAAAAAACCTAAAAGCCTTCTGTGGCCTTTACTCCATGGACAGGTTCGTGGAATAGAGAAGGCCTTAGGTCTTTTGAGGCAGACTGCCCCCTGGTAAAATATTATCCAAGTATTTCATATCTGTTTGGAGTAAAGTCATAAAGAAAGGAACCCTTCTCCTAGAAATATTGATTTTGTGATTAACTAAGAGCAAGGCTTTCTTTTTCTGATTGTTTAATTTAGAAGGTGAGGTATGTTGAGAGAGAGGTGTGGGGGAGCTCTAATATCAAATGAAACCTCTGGCAAACATAGCACAGTGTCCCATTCTTTGGAAATGCTTAAGTAACAAAAGAGCTTCTATATATAGTATTTTGGTTGACTGCTGCAAATTCATGTAGTTTTTGCTGTTATTAATTTCACTTAATTAGAAAGGAGCAAGTCAGTGTTGCCAGATCCTTCTTAATTTCTTACTCAAAGCAGTAAAATGGGAATTATTCCTGAATCCTTATCTTAGGTTCAGCAAATTTTCTCCTTAGAATTAGAGAGATTGCTCAAATCTCCAACCAGTTTTGCCACCAACCAAATAGGATATGTTGGAGTATAACATATCCTCAGGCCACAGACTGATACCCTGGCTGCACAGCATGACGTGAGCAGGAGGTAAGTAGGTGAAGCTTCATCTCTATTTACAGCTGCTCCCCACTGCTCCCATCACTGTCTGGGCCCTGCCTCCTGTCAGGTCAGCAGTGACATTAGCATTAGATTCTCATGGGACTGTGAATCCTACTGTAAACTGTGCACGTGAGGGATCTGAGTTGTCGCTGTTTATGAGAAAGTAATGAGTGGGGATCTGTGACAGAGTTGTATGTGCTTGTATGTTATCCAGAAACCATTTCCCCCCACCCCCACCCCTGGTCTGTGGAAAAATTGTCTTCTAATTGAAACCAATCCCTGGTGCCAAAAAGGCTGGGGACCACTGATCTATAGGATAACCATCTTCTAGAGATGTGAAAAGGAATTCTTTTACTGGTGAGAGGTTAGCTAGAAAGTTTAACTCCTCTGGAAATCCAAGATTCTGCTAGGCTATCAGGGCAGCCCCACTTTGAATAACTGGCAGTGGGGCTTGAATAAGTGAGATTATCCCGTCTACTGTAGAGCCTTTCATTATTTAGAAATGACAGCACCTTAAAGCTGGATTCTCTGAATTGTTATGTAGGCCATTGCAGGTGCCCACAGGAACTCGCATCCCTTCATGGGCTCATGCTCAGCCAAAGCAGCAACATGCAAGTACTGTGGACTCACCTGGTTAGTGTTTCGCTTTGCTTTTTGACTTTAAATTCAGACTAAACTTTAATATAAGAAGTTTTGATAATAACTGGTGAACTTCATCTTTTTGAAAGGTAGTGTAGCTCTCTTCCTGTGGTGTAACCATAGCAACTGACAAGGACCAGAGAAAGAGAGCTTTCACACATGCTGTGCTAATTACTCTTGTCCTGTAGTTTTCCTTCAGCTGGAGGATGCAGTTTAATAAATTTTGCATGAGTAAGCATGTTTGGGCATGAACTGTATGAACACATAACAACATCTTCATCAAAACTATTTGGAAAAATATATACTCGTATTTGTGCTTCAAGGTCCTTCTTTTTTAATTTTTTTTGAGTCATTGTTTTAGTAATTTGCCTCCTTCCTGGAAAGTTTTGGAATATTTTTAATGTTATCAACCAAACATGAACACTTTTAGAGTTAAAACCTCTTGTTCATCAATATACAGCATACTTTCCAGAAGAAACTGTTTTAATTAACTACATTGAAGAATGATCCATCAAACAATGCAGAAGAATATATATTAAAAATACAATAACGTTCTTCATTCTGTATGACACATTTACTGCAAACCATCTTAACAAGGTCAGTCTTAAGGCTTTAAAAAGTTAGATATTGAAAACTTATTCCCACTGTTGTGTTGGGGTGTTATGTGGGCCCTCTGAATGAAGTTGGGTCCATCTCTGACCCTCAAATATGGGGAGAAGGAGAATAGGGTAAATAAAAAGCTTTTTCTACTTGTATTTTCCACCAATATTTGACAAGTTTAGCACATTTATATTCAGAGTGAATAGAATTGATCTGAAGTCATGTGTACTTATTTTGATTTATACTGTTTCTAGGTTATTTTAAGGTCTTTTCTTCCTTTACAACCGAGGATATAAAAATTTTTTATAATTAGCCTGATCTCAGCTGTCAAAGAAAGACTCAATTTTTTTTCATTCTTCTATCTCTCAGGCTTGCTTTCTGACAGCAGGGCCTGGGGAAAACCAAGGGAATCAAGCCTGGATGTTTTTATCATCCCACTTGCCTTGACAATAGCATATGGATGGTGTCAGAATCTATTTCAGGACTTAGCCATAGCTCTTTGGTCTCTGTATAGGAGCATCATCATCTCAGGAACCGCATCTTTTGATGGGGTTACTAATTCTGGGCATACTCTCCTGTCATCCTGATTGTCCTATCCATTGTTCACTTTTGCCTGAATTGAGGTAGGATAAACCTTGCAAAGAAAAGAAGTAACAGATTATGGAAATCTGTTATCAAAAATATTTACTCCATACCCAGAAGGAAAAAAAAAGTCATTTTATCCTAAGGACATTTTTACTAAATTTTTTATCACAGCTTAATTTACAGTCTCCAAGATGTAGAAACAACCTAAATTCCCATCAACCCAGGAATGGATTCATAAACTGTGGTATATGTATACCTGGAATACTATTCTGCCATAAAAAGATGGTGACTTTACATCTTTTATATTAACCTGGATTGAGTTGAAACACATTGTACTTAGTAAAGTATCACAAGAATGGACAAGTAAATATCCAGTGTACTCAATACTAATATGAAGCCAGTAGATGAACTAGTCCATGCCCACTTAAGAGAAAAACTCAAGTCAATTCAAGTTGGGGGAAGGAGGAAGAGAGGGGATGGGTATGTTTCCACCTGACGGGCCCAATGTAAGGGAATATGGCACACGCCTCCTGGGTGCGGGACACAGCTACCTCAGGGACTTCACTGAGCAAATGCAAAATTGTAACCTAATTGTGTGTACCCTCCTATTTATCCAAAATAAAAAAAATAAATAGTAAGTAGTTACTCCATTCACATGCAGAAAAATTAGGGACCAGCAATATGTAAGTACGTTTGTGTGTGTATAATCTGTACATTTTAATGTGGGGAACTTACAAATGTTAGCTAGCTTATAATATACCATTGCATTATTATTAAAACAGCATTGTAGGAAAAACTGAATGACTTGTACCATGATTGAATTAATTAAAAATTCTTTGTCTGCTCAGCTACCCTATAATTTTAATACTATCACAATGAAATTCCATGTTAATAAACAAGAAACAGTTGTGTTTGTGAGGACTTCATAAATAATTTTAAATAATCAGAGTATTAAAATGATTGTCATGGTAGGTTTACCGTAAAAATGTTTTATGTGCTTTAAGCATCACAGTGGTAAACAATACCTTATGCTTGTCACTAATCTACATAGCCAGATAGAAAGATATTATATAGGGTTTTTTTCTTTTAAAAAATGACATCTATAAATTTTTGTGATTTTTTTAAAAAAAGACATATGTATTTACTGCACAAAACTTAGAAAAACTCAAAAAAAATTTACTTAAAAAAATTGAGTAATCCTATATTCAAGAGGTAGCTACTGAAGACATTTAAATATATTTTCTGCTAGTCTTTTTTCTATGCATGACTATTTAAGGTTATGAGGTCAAACTGCATTCATTTTTTTTTCACTTATTATTGTGACCATTTTCTCAGTTTTTAAAAATTCTTAGAAAAGACTGTAATTTATTACATACTGTTTCAAATCTGTATCATCAGATTTTATTTTACTATTCCTTTGTAATTATTTATTTGAATGGTTTTCGAATGAGCTTTTCAAATAAGCGTTTCCTAATGTATGTTTGACAGAACACTGAAATCATAAGGTTTGGGAAAACCCTTTGAGAAAATATGCTGTTCTTGCAGATTCACAACGCACATTATAAAAATTAAGGGCACTGAGAAGTCTTCCCATTTGGAGACAGTTTAACTTTCCAAATCTGTTTATTTTTCAAAGTTTTTTGACCAAGAAACCCTTTCTTATAACATAAATTTGTAACTCTCAAAACTAGAGTTTTATGAAGCATAGGTAGTGCTTTAGATAATCCGAGATATTTCTAAGCTTCCATGTTGTATCTGATAGTGTAAGAATCATTTGTTTATGCTGTGATATTTTCATAGACTTGTGATACCAGGCTTTATTAGGAAAAATAAATGACTTAATGGTTATTGACATGTATTTGAGACAGAGAGACCACAGAATGCTTTCCCCAGCCTTCCTATTAACCTTGACATTGCATTTGCAATTCCGTATTACAATATCATGTTTGACCTTTTTAAATTATAAGCATTCAAATTCAAATTGCCTTGTCCTACTAATGCCTGCTAAACTTCTCTGTGTTTCATGTAATTCACAGGTCTTGCAAGAGCAAAATCCGTCCCTAGCCACACATACTCCAATGAAGTGGTTACCTTGTGGTACAGACCTCCAGATGTCCTCCTAGGCTCGACAGAGTATTCCACCTGCCTTGACATGTGGTGAGAAATGGAAACTTTATTCTAGCTAATCTATCTGTAGTGCTTGGTCTGGGTCAAGCCTAGACAAACATCCTAACAGTTTGAATGAAGATTAATGGGGCAGGAGTGTTTGCCTGTGTGTGGCAATACTGAGGGATTTTTAAAACGTGATTTGGAATCTTCCCTAATCAGAGGCTCCCTTGCAGATGGTGTCTAGTAATGGTTCCTGATGGACAGGGGCAGAGACATTTATCTAACTGTCAATACTGTGATTTTCCTCCCTCCGGGTCTTAATTTATGGTTTTATTTTATAACACACAGCAGTAAAGTTGGGAGTAATCCAACTTTTTGTTATCTCCAAACAGCAATAAAGTTAGGAGTAACAGGAGAATGTTTAAATTCACAGCAAAGCTCAGACAAGTGATCTGAAAATTTTGGTACTATTGGGAACTAACTTGGCTTACTTGGGATACGAACAATATCCCCAAAACTGATACCAGTTATCCAAAGTGAAATAAGATGATCACTTGTTAAAAATATTATAAGTTTAATTTCAGTAGAGTCTAAGTTTCACTAAATGGTTTAACAAAGCTTAAAAATTCGTTTTATGTGGTTAAGTGACTGGCAGGATTTAATGCATAATTATTATTAACGGTGATCTGTGCAGAGTTATGTGATCTAAATCAAATATTCAAATAAGGGAATAATCTTATTTTTAGCATGCAGGACAGATTTACCAGTGACTGTCAACATGTCTTTTATTATTCTCTTTTATTAGTAGAAAAATCTTTTTTCTATATTCACAGTTATCTTCAAAATAAAATAACTCACATAGCACATGATAATTTTATAAGAGGAATCATCTCCCCTAAATGATTATGACCTCATAAATAGAATTCAGCGATGTTCATATAATATTTATGACGTCAATAAAACTTCACCTTTGTTATTTATCTTACTGTTATGTACTTCACTGCTCTCCCCTCAGTAATCGTGGCTTTTTGCAAGTTAGGCTGTGTTGAGGCCTGGCTTCTTCCCTGATGTTTCTGATTGAAATATTTTATTGTGAGAAATCAATGAATTTCCTTATAGTGACAGGCATGGTGTAGATTTTCTTAATTTAGGTTCCAAACATTCCCCTAGGAATAAGATTTTATAATTTGTAAAGCTACTGAAAATATCTACAACATTCTGTGTATACGGCAATATATTTATTTTTATGGGGTATACATCTGTAGCTTTCAATAGAGTTCACAAAATAATCTAGATCAGCACACAGCATAAGGTCTGTTCTCATAAATTTTGTAGTAAAGCTTACACCAAATCTAATACCATTTTAATTTATTCTGAACACTGAGAATAAAGACGATCATCTATCATTGATGGACTGAGCTAATCCATTTTTAAAATCACTCTTTTCTCTTCTCTTCTCTTTTCTTTTCTTTCTTTCTTTTTTTTTTTGGAAGTTTCTTTTTACACGCATTTTTTTTTCCTGAAGTCTAGGTGGGAGCTTAGACAAAACAGATTTGGGGATAATTAGTTGAGATGGAGGAAAAGGTTGAAAATAAAGACCAAGAAATGCATCAGGGTATCACGTACATTCTCATTCTCTTCCTACTTACTGCCTTAGAACTGACCGTTGGCTATGTAAATAATCATTACTATGTTCTGGAGTTGTGCCTTGTTTTTCTCTATTTTTTGGGTAGAGAATTCTAGGTTATCTTTCAATGAGGTCAGTTAAGGACTTTGCTAATAAAACATAGATTGGAAACATTTGTGGCTTGGGCCAATTTTTGTCTTAGTTGCTTGGTAGATTGGTCAGTTAAAGCAGTACCCTCAGAATCCGGAGAAGCTGTTTTTTTATCCACTAGGTGACTAAGGGCTAATTTTTCCTAAACCATTAAAAGTGCTCTCAAGTATTGTGCAAAGAACCATATGGACTGTGACTTGTTAATGCCTGTTTTAAGGTGTAGTATTAACACAGGATTTGATTTCCAGCATGTGCCTCTTTTCCTCCCTATGTGTGTTCTTTCTCTCAAGGAAGACACTTTCTGCCAATTTGCTTTGAACAGAGACATAATGGAAGCATAAGAAGACTGTTATTTAAGTGGCAGGGAGGAAAACTGATAGAAAATGGTAGACCCCAAATGCCCTTTGTCTGCATGCCAAGATTATTCATTGCCAAAAACAAACAGCACATGCGTTAGGTCTGAGCAGCTTCTCGTTCTTACTGGCTTTTCACTTCTAAGCAGAGATTCGTTCTGAATCAGATTTCATTCCAAGTGATTGTCTGAAAGCTATTTTGTTATTATCCTGTAAGTCGGGTAAAATGTATGTATTTTTCCAGTTAGAGAGATGTTCACAGGCACTGATTTCTGCATAATCAATGCCATCGATGCTAGGTATTCAGGGACCCAGAAATGGGACTATAATTGAGTCATGGCTCAGCTGTGCCAAAGAGAAGGGCAAATATTAACTCACGGACAATAGCAGGGAGGCAGGTGGCACTGGTTTCAGGCACTTTTACAGTTCATTTACCATCGCGGGGCAATAGAGTAGTAACTAAAAATTAACGATCCCTACACAGTGTTACATTTTCCACTTTTCTGTTTAAATAGCCACAGGCAATAAAAATATTAATGAAGACACATATGCATTAACACTGTCAGCACGCGCCGGAAATCCGAGCTGGCCATGTTAAGATTTACTCCCCAGGAGTGAAGACACTGCGCTGTTGGAGAACTCATCAAGAAAGACAGGTTTTGATACCTTTGTGCCGGCCCTCCTCCCCCCCAAGGAGATTTTAAGCAGAGGAATCAAATTGAAAATTGCCTCTGTATAACGTCTCTTAATTTTTGGATTTTATAACTCTTTTTACGTCAAGGCATAGGGAAATCATTGCTAAGCTTCTAAGCGAAAAAAAGCTTAACTGAATTCTGAAAACCACATTAAGACAAGTGCAGATGTAAAAAGCAGCTTATCTATGTCGTTCTTCCCTTGCCAGGGAGCTCTTCTCTCACTGGTAAGGTCACTGCTCAAAATAAGCCTTATATTGCTTTATAGAGCTCATAAATATGTTTAGGGCTGCATTTGTTTTTTTAGATAGAAAAGCAGAAGGTCACCTGGGATCAATTTTTAATATAGAGTGGCTTTAAGTTATCTGTCGCTAATAAAGGACTATTTCATCAAGATCACAGTGCTTTTGGAGGGTGGAAATACGTCGTAGCACTGACCCGAGGTTTCAACGTCAGCGTCCCAGCACAGCATATGAAGAATGATAGCGCGTCAGGCTCTGCCTTTCATCATCTTTTTAAAAGCTAATTAACATATTAACTATGCTTGTCAAAATGTGGGGCAAATCACTTATAAATAAGCCTGTCAAATGTAATGAGATTGCATATTAAATCATCCGTTTCTCTATTACATCTCTGATTTAAGATTAAAATTAATTTATCTAACAATGTAGCAGCTGGGCGGTTAGAAGAAATTTCCATACCAGTTTCAATGTATAGAAAAATGCATCAACGTTGAATTTGCATGTGATAGAAAAGAAATTGCCTGTTTATTAAGTATTATAAGGCCATTTAGCATTGCTTTTATTAAATAAGCCTAATCACCACACACGTTGGCAATATACGAAGCTCTGCCATCATCTTTAATGATCTCTCTTGACCCAGGAAATTTATGTAATAAAGGAAGATTTAGGTTTATTTACCAGTGTTTTAAATAACAGTGAAATGAACCCTCCCACAGCCCCTTCCCTGAAAATAAATTTGTCCTATATGGGCTCCTATGGTTTAATCTGAGGCTTGAGTCACAATAGTAATACTGATAGCTATTTTAATTGAACACAAACTGTATTCTAAGCCCCGTTAATGTATTTTCGTTACTTGCCTATTATACCTTCACACAGTGAAAGCAACAAAAACCCTAAAGAGACTAAATTATAGTATAGCTAAAGTCATGCAGTTGTTGAATAGAACCAACATTCAAACTCAAAGATAACCCACTCAAAGCCCTTTCTTTTTACAACATATTACATAATCTGTTAAAATGATTTAGAAGAAATTGGTTATTTTACTACTAAAGTGACTCAATAAAATTCCTATTTGTATCGTTTAGGTCAGCGGTTCTCAACCTTCCTAAGCCGCGGCCCTTTAATGCAGTTCCTGTGGGTTTAGTTGTAATACAATTCCGCTGGTTGAGGTTGTGCTCTGAGTCTTATGTCCTTTGCATAGTTCATATGTAGTGGGAGGCTTTCACTCTCACACGACAGCCCATGGACGGCCTCTTCTGACTTCAGTGTTGTAGCAGATTCTCCTAGGTCATTTTATTCAAGGAGGAGTTTTTAAGCATTAACTAAGACATGAATCATTGGATTGAATACATTTTCATGGGACCAGTATCTATGCTGGCGTAATTTTCCCAATTTCTAGTCATTACTCATTTACCACTTCTGCTGAACTGGATGAGTCCATGTAAAAAGGAATGGTAGTAAAAATGAGAATTTGAGTTCGTGAGCTACATCAAGTCATCTATCTGTCAGTACTATTTGCACATTTTCTAATTAATTAGGCCACAAGACCAAGAAGGATATGAATTAGTTACTGTTAAATGTAACAACTCTTTAAGAGCTCTTGAGAGCTGCTCAAATGATGGATGATCCAAGAAGCTCGGGGCCGTTGCTGACAGTGCAATGGAATGTGGATGTAGCAGAAGAACCAGGGGCAGTCAGGAAGGTATCCAGGTGATTGAAGGCATCCAGGTGACATCACACTCCCACTACTGAAGTCCTTTAAAATTCAGGAGACCATATAGTTTATCATCATCAGAACACCCTTGAGAGTTATTAATTATTCCGCCAGGATAATAGGTGTGAGAGAGAGATAGAACAATGACATGTGGTCCCCTTTCTCTAACACATTAGAGCAATAATTTGCTAAATACTACTAGTCAGAAGAAACTTAATACATTTGAGTGTTTAATTTATACCTAAGGACTTCTGTCTACAAATTCAAAGT